GAGGTTCGATTGTCGCGGGCTGCACTTCGGCTGCAGCTCGGACATCAGCTCATGAGGCTGCTAGGGAAGAGCAGAATCCCCCGAAGCAACCAAGGACGGAAGACCCGATCTTCTTCACAGAGGACGATGTGTGTGGGGTCCACCACCCCATGATGACGCGCTCGTCATAAAGATAAAGATTAATGACTTTGAAGTCAGGCGTGTCCTCGTCGACTCCGGCAGCTAGGAAGGATTACAGTACTTATGGAAGTCAGCACCTAGTCTAGCATAGTGAGGCTCAACCACGACTTCTTAGTGGTCGCAACCCCCTCCTCGTACAATGCCAAAGTAGGGCGGCCGATCACCCATGCCCTACATGTTGTGGTCTCCACTTACTATTTGGCAATGAAGTTCCCCACGGACTTTGGAATCGGGATAGCGCGAGGTGACCAGCTTGAGTCTCGCAAGTTCTACGTCGCCGCCCTCAAAGGGAAAGCCAAGGTGGCCGACGACCTCGAGCTGGAGCGACCTACGGAGCAATGCGAGGAGCGAGCTGCAACCATGGAAGAGACTGTCTTCATCCCGGCATCGACGGAGGACCCAGCCCGGACACTTCAAATCGGCGCTTCCATTGAGGAGCCTCTGCGATCCCAACTGGTACGCTTCTTACTTGAAAATTTAGATGTGTTTGCATGGTCCATGGCAGAGATGCCTGACATAAACCCTAGCATCATAACTCACAAGCTTAATACTGATCCTGTAGTTAGGTCCGTTAGATAGAAGAAACGCAACTTAGCCCTAGAGCGATGGAGGGAAGTCGACGAGAAGGTCGGGAAGCTCCTCGCAGCCAACTTTATCAGGGAAGTCCATTACCCGAGCTGAGTGGCCAACCCCGTTCTGGTAAAAAAGGCTAACGGTAAATGGCGCATGTGCGTCGACTACACCGATCTGAACCGGGCTTGCCCAAAGGACTACTTCCCACTCCCCAAGATCGATTGTCTGGTGGATGCGACCTCAAGGCATGAGTTGTTGAGTTTCCTAGACGCCTATTCGGGCTACAACCAGATTGGGATGGACCCAGCTGATGAAGAAAAGACTACCTTCATAACTGAGCTCAGCCTGTAGTTACAAGGTCATGCCCTTTGGGCTAAAAAATGCCGAGGCAACCTTTCAGAGACTTGTAAATAAATTTTTTGAGCCATTGATTGGCAGAAAAATAGAATGTTATATAGACGGCATGGTCGTCAAAACCCATTTTTCGCATGATTTAATACAAGACTTGCATTCAGTTTTTGAAAATTTGCGTAAATTTCACATGAAATTGAACCCGAATAAGTGTGTCTTCGGTGTCACCTCGGGTAAAATCCTAGGGTACATCATTAATCAGCGTGGAATTGAGGCCAACCCGGATAAAATAAAGGCCATCCTAGACATGAGACCACCCCGGAAACTGAAGGAGGTTCAGAGGCTGAATGGCCGAATAGCTACTCTGAGCTGCTTCATGTCCAAGTCGGCAGATCGCTGCCTGCCTTTCTTCAAGGCAATCAAAAGCAAAGGTTTTTGAATGGACCGAAGAGTGTCATCTCGCATTCGACGAGCTCAAAAAGTACCTCGCTAGTATACCAGTCTTAACCTGGCCTGAGGAGGGCGATGTTTTAAAGATGTACCTCTCGACAAGTGACGAGGTGGTCGGGTCCAACAACCCATCTACTATGTTAGTAAAGTGTTGTAGGGAGCAAAGACGAGATATCCAGAGATAGAAAAGTTGGCCTATGCACTAGTTATTGCAGCCCGGAAGCTTCGTCCGTACTTCCAAGCCCACACTATCATCGTCCTTACCAACAAACCTCTGAGGCAAGTTCTGCTCAAGCCCGTGGTCTCCGGTAGACTGACGAAGTGGGCCGTTGAGCTTAGCGAGTACGACCTCCAATACAAGCCGTGAACTGCTATCAAGGCCCAAGCCTTAGTAAACTTCGTCGCAGAATGCACTTTCAGCTCCGAAGTCCTCAGGCCGGTGGTTGCAATCATACGACGTAGGTGGTGACATCAGTATTGCAGTGTTTAGTCGGGGCTAGGTGGACTAATGTAAAGCCAACCTACATGGGTGCTAGGACTGCGGAGCATGGTGGAATGTTACAATCCCTTTGTCTCACATTGATAGTATGGGATGCTAATGTGAGATATCCCACATGGGGTTTGAATGATACTCAAAATCTGAGCATCAGGAAGTTGGATGTGTATGATCGGAGTATCAAGGTCATCCGAGTTTATTAGAGAACAATAGTACATCTACATCGTTCTTTTAATATGTAGAAACGCTCATATATATATATATATATATATATATATATATATATATATATATATATATATATATATATATATATATATATATATATATTAAAACAAGGAAGTCTAGAAATTTTCTCATTTTTTAATTTTATTAATCCATGTCATTTTCAAAACTATCAATTAGAACTCTTCTTTCCTCAAAAAAAATCTTCCTAAAATCTCCCTCTCTCTCTCTCTCTCTCCCACACGTTCCAATAACCTAAATCATCTAATATCCTAAAATTTTTCCTAAACAACCTCCCCCACTATCCCCAACTTTCTCCTAAGTTGTCTCTAATTTAGTAGAGAGTTTCTTTCCTAAATTATTTTGAATTCTTATTTATCTTCTCCCCCATTTTTTATCTACATCTATCTAAAGAAAGTTTGAATTAAAAAATTTAAGAATTATTTAAATATTCTAACAAAATTATATAATAACTTTAAAATATTTATTAAAAGACACAAAATAATTATAATCGATTTAATAATACTCATATTATTAATAATTATATATTTTTACAAAAATTATTACGAAATTATGTACAAACAATATAAATTATGATTTCCTGGATTATTCAATCTAAATATTTTTCAAATAATAAAAATATAACATTAAAAATGAAATATTATTTAAATATTTTAATAACTAAATATCTTAAATAACAAAATATTAAAATTAATATTTTAAATAGTTACGAATAACTTTCAATTATAATAAATAGATTAAGATTTTAAATATTTAGTTAAATAACTAAATATTTTAAATAACGAAATATTTAACATAATTAGATTTTAAATAGTTAAAATAAGAAAATTATGTATTAATAGTACTATAATTTTATGGATTATTAAATTCAACAAGTAATTAATATTTTAAAATGTAAATAATGACATTATTTCAATAAATAAATAATATTGTAAATAACTAATTTCATTTATACTAATTAATAATTCTAGAAAATAACTTTCAAAAAAATATTGTTTATTAATAATAATTTTAAAAACTTAACCTTTATTTATTATATATTTATCTATACTAAAATTAATATTTATTGTATTTCACTAATTATTTAATGTTTTTTGTGATAAATATATTTTCACTAATTATTTATAAATCTATTTTTATTTTGTTATTTAATAGGAAATTTTCAATAAATATTAGACTTTAAACTACTGTTATTTGGATTTTTAAATTTAATTTATTGTGTATTTTCGCTATAAATTTTTAATAATTATTGAAGATTAAACTATTGTTCACAGGTTGGTTTGGTTCAGTTGTAGGTTGTTTGGCCAACCAAATCGACCTGGTTAGGTTGGGGGACTGGTCACTCAGGTTAGATTGGTTTAAGTCAATTTTCGGTTTGGTCGATGGGTTCAAAAATTAAGTTTAAATTTAAAAAAAATACAATGGCATTATTTAAAAAATTAAATTTATGATATAAACTATTTTAGCCTAAAAAATCTTAGAATTTTTTTGCTTTCCCATATTAAAAAATATTAATATATATTTATGGTCAGGTCATTTGATTTTAGTCAATTTACAAATGGCCAAAACGAAAATTATCCAACTTAGTTGGACTGGGAAATTATTGAATCAAAGCTGACTGAAAATACTAAAAATCAGGTTAGTCATTTTCATTTGTTTGATTCGGAATGGCAATGGGGTGGGGCAGGGATGATGAGCCTCTCCCCATCAACGTCTTCGTCCCCATCCTCACTAACGGGGACAAAGTTATCTCTATCCACCATGGTTCAAAGTATTGACACATATCGGCCTGTATCGACCCGTATTGGCTGATACATATCGTTCCAAGACCCCTCTGATACGCCCTACAGTGGGTGTATCAAAGGTCTAACCAATTCAGGGGGTAGAGGAGACCTAAATCGTGAACCAGTTGCAAAAAAAATAATAAAAAAAAAGCAACCAAAATGTGTATCGATTCGCCCGATACGCCCCTACCGGCATATCGAACGTATCGATATTTTGAACATTGCCATCCACATCTCCACGAGGATTGAGCTCTTCGTGATTCTTTTTAATGTCAACCATTATGTTTTTGTTTTTTTATTTTATTTAAAAAATACAAATAAAATAATTAAAATTTACAATCCTATAAGATTCAAACATAATCAACCATATTTTTAAAAATATTAACATATAGACGCATGCATATATATATATAATATAAACGTATGTGTATATACATATGTATTAACGAGGATCCCATGGGACAAGGATTAGGGTCCACGTGGGGCAAGGAGTTCTCTCCCCGTCCCCGCACCGTCTCTGCCAACAGGGATGAAAATTTCCCCATCTCCATCCCCATAAGAGGAAAATCATCCCCATCCCTGCCCCATTTGGGGCAGATTCCCATGGGAATCGGGGAAATAGGAAAAATTGTCATCCCTAAGTTTGATAAACAATCCTATCTAAAATTAATTATTATTATTTTTGTATTGTAAAATAATTATTAAAATTAACATATAAAATATAGATGATTATTAATTATTATATAAAACAATTGTATATTCTTACATATTTCTATTATTTAACTTAACAAATCCCGTACATCGCATGAGCCCCCGCTAGTTATTATATTAAAATGTTAATATAACCCCTCACAATCAATTCCTGGACAATCAAGAGATCGATTAGATGCATTGCCCATTACTCCCGCTACTGTTGCTTCTTTTTTTTTTCCTATTCTTTTACATTCTCTACATAAGTTACAAATCGTTTTCTCTTGCGGAGACATCTCCCATGAGCTCCTCAAGTGAGAATTCATCCTCTTCCATGATTTCTCCATCTTTGCCATCCCAAGGCTCTGTCTTCACAACCACAGGGGCATTCTCCATAGGCAGATTTCCCTTCCCACCTAGCCCAGCTTCTCTGACAAATTCTCTGCAAATCAATTCCATTGTGTTACTTTTGTTCTTTCTTATCAACTTATGACGATAAAAAGAAGGTGGAAAAAAAGAATGAAGCTTACATGATTTGCCCAAGCTCAAATGCACTCCGCAGTGGAACATAAGCTCGTTTCTTTACATTCAGTGCAACCAAAGCAGGATAACCATACCCACCAACACCAATTAGCTTTTCAAGATCTAGTTGCTTACCTGCAGCTGCCCAAACATAGCTGCAACAGACATCCAATGCCAATTCTGTAATTAGACCAGGTTGGGACCTACTAGGATATTAGTATTTAATGATTTTCAGGGTAGTTTGGAGATGATAAGTACTTGATGCAGCCCTGACTAAATCATGTATTGGACGCTGAATCTCATAATGTTGTATTAGGCTCTAAATAACCCCATCAAGATCCTGAATACTTGCCTGTATGGGCTTCTTTTGAACTTCTCTGCAACGGATAGCAAGAGCTCAAGGTACTTACTCCTTCCCTCTGCCTTAGAATCCAAAATGTCGGGGAGGAAAGCAACAAAGCAGATGGAAGATGAACTACACTTTTCTTCCATTACATCCTACATATCAATAGCACAATGAATTTTATACCTAAGTTGGTAAGTTTTACACTAAATAAACTTCTGAGAGTGAAGAAAAATGCTTACTGGACCAGTGAGCTCAGTCACTTCAGGGGGCACCACATTTGTTTCCAGCTGCTCCAGTGCGAATGATTCAATGGATGAAGCAAATCTTGCACCTTCATATTTGGTTGGGCTGTCCTTGTCAGCACCAAATACCAGGATGGTGGGGAATCCTTCCACTTTGAACCTACTCATCAGAAACTGATGAACTCGCTCAATTAGAAATTACCCTGCTCAACAAATCTGCAAACTCAAGCAGGTGCAATGTAGAAAAAAGAAACTGATACTTCATATCTCTTCCTACTTATTGGTTGACACCCATACAGCTTGATATTGTAAAACATCAAGCAGCATATTTTCAGAAATCAGTAAGTCCACATTTTTATGTGGTGTAGTAATCAGCACTGCAAGGTCCGAGCGACAGTACATAAGATCTAGGGTTATGAGGGGAAAATGGTGGCTCTCTTCACAAATTTCCTGGTGCAAATAAAACCCAAATTTGCATGAGATACATGTTATCAATGAGAAAGCTATTTACAAATTCATAACATATTTGTACCACTCAGCTTAGTATACTGTTCCATTATATGAATGGGAAAGTAACTAAAATCAAGGGGCTAGGATAACTAGAGAAACAAGATATAGTTATGTTGTTCCACAGACCAAAATCAAGTTTTCTGTCCAATAGGTGGTTGGATATGCAAACTGGATTGAACAAGGCCAAAATATGAGAAATTTAAATTACCATTTATCTGTAAGAGGGTTTTTTTTCCTTCCCCAATAACCCCTTAACTGACTAAGGTGTTGGCTATGGCACTTTAATCCTTGACTCCATATCAGAAGTAAAACAAGAACTCCAAAGATGCTAATCTCATTAATCATGTAAGCAAGCCTCAAAAGACCTCTCAAAATTCTTGCCCCATGTGATAGAATTGGCAGAATCTCCTGTTCAATGAGGAGCAAGGAAAGCCTCCAAGTGATAGCTAAGACTAAGGAACACCAGCTCCATCAGTCCATCTTAATTGAATCAATCTCCCCAATAGGATGTTTTGGGCTGTTCTGTAATTGCTCCATGATTTGGGGTTTATAGGGTATTTGGGAGTTAAGATTCTTTAGCTCCTTTCCTTGTAATTCTGGTTTTACAAACTATTAATAAAATCCACTGTTATCGATTAAAAAAAAATATCCCCAATAAGATCTGTATGAACCCAAATAATGTTGACTAATTCTTGAGGATTTTTAATTGCCCAAGGAGCTTTCAACCTCAAGAAAGCATCCTCCATGGAAGAAGCATCATAGGTCATAATGATTGGAGAATCAAAGACTACAGAGGAGAGAAAGCTCAGAAAATCATTGATCCAAAATTTTTGAAGAGCTGCAAATTTAGGAGGGAGCAATCCACTTTTGAGCTCTAAAATGAATGCTACAGAACATAAAAAATACTAAATACTAATTGCTAGCAATAGAAAGAAAACGTTGCAGGAAAAATGTAAAGCCTGAGCATATATTTGAATTTGTTATTACCTTTTCTGCATCACAATCGACATGGCCCAGTTTCACCTTCCCCTTCAAGTTGTTTGCAGCTTTCTTCCACTCAGGTGCCAGCTTTTTACAGTGTCCACACCTGGAGAAAAAAGAAAAGTAAAACTGCATATCAGTTAAAAACTAACAAAAATAAAAGGAAGACAGGCGTTAAGAATTTAAAAGCCTATGAATGATGTAGCATTGGAAGGCTATGTGAGCTGTACCCTAAACTTTCCAAAGTGCCAAAATATTACAATGAAGAAATGTTTTGAACTCATTAATGGTAGGGTTATTTGGTATCCAAACTTTAGAAGACAATTATAAGACAGTGAATAGGTGCATTTCTCTGTTCAACAAGATTGAAGAGGAGAAAGCGTTTCGTGATGTTTCAGATGCTAAAAGGAAGGAATGCATAAACAGATGTTTCATGGTAATATCTTATTACAATTCTATGTAATCAGGTGGAGCATTCTGATTTAAAAGGTCTTTGGGGCATCCTAATTCCTCCTAGAGTGTAGGCTTTTGCATGGCAGATAGCTCCAGATAGCATCTTCATAATGAATCGCCAAAAAGAAAGAAAGATGTTTTCATTTGACTGGTTTATGTTAAATGTGCTACACCAATGAAAAAGATGTTAGATATCTATTTATCTTGTGCAGAATGATCAAGTATTTGGTGGGGCTTATTCTTTTCTTTATTTAGAAGACAAGAATGGTAACCACAACATTCACATGATAAAATCTTTATAGCCTCTTCATGGTCATGGATGTCCATTGCAAAAGGCTAGGTGACCCTAAATAGCTGAGACCAACATTGGGTAATAGCCTTTTGATGGCCTTAGACTACTTCTCATGGAAGTGGAAAACAAAGATCTTTTGATGCTGTATTCCTTTGGATGTGTGCTGGGGGTATTTAGAAAGAAAGAATCAGAAAAATCCTTAATGGGAAGCAGAAAGTTGAGAAAGATTGTCATGACATGGGCAATATGATATTGGATTTTCTCAGCCCTGGTTTTTCGTCTACCTTGGGCTTGGGGGTTGAATGATGTAATACAAGAGTCTGATATGTATTTTCCATTTGCTTTTTCCTTTTGATTTACTAGCGCTGACCTGTGCAATGCACGGGATGCTGTATTTCTACTTTTTTATATGTAGAATAGTAGAAAAAATTCTTTTCTTTTTTAGATATTGACCTTCAAACTTTCCTTTTTATATAGCTTATATATTATGATAAGCATATAGACCAACTGTTGGTGGCTCAGTTGATACCTTAGGGGTTGGGGTAATGGGCTACCTTCCATTGTGTAGCCCTATAAAGCCAAAAAAATGTGTTTAGCATGAGATTAATAACCAAGTTAAGAAAAAACAATTTCAAAATTGAACTGATTAAGATAACCAAAAACTCGCATTAAGTTCTTTTTTACTACATTTTATTATTGAAAAAATCTACATTAAATTAAATTAATAAAAACAAAGGGAAAAACCTGAACCCAAGGAAAGGAGCAATGGTTTGTTTAAATTGGTTCACCCCATGTACTGGTGGGCAAATTTGGGTTTTTAGACATTAATTTGGGTTCAAGCTAAGGTTCATTGGGTTGACCCTTAACCTAACCCAGCCTATCTAATTTACACCCTACTTTATTAGGGAGAGACAAAAGGGATTAAGAGATTATTAAGAGAAAATAAGGATTTAATGGGGAAGGGAGATGTTACAAATATTGACTATTAAGGGGAGAGAAAGAGAGAGAGAGAGATTTATTAGAGAGTAAATATTGATTTTATGAGAAATGATAAAGACCATGAGGTTTTTAATGATTTAATATAAAAATAAATATGCACATGTGTGAGAAAGGAGAGGAGGAGGTACGTGTGAACTTTGTGGTGAGAGGACCCTCACCTCCCCTCTTTCCTCTTTCTATTATACATATAGATGCTATTATCTTGGGTCTTACATCACCTCTATTTATGATGTATGATCCTATCATTTTAGTGAAATTTAACTTGAATAAAAGAACCAGAAAAGAATGTGTTTTCTGATGTAATTTAGAGAGAAGAAGAGAAGTCAACCATTCAAAGAGAAGAAGAAGAGAGAAGAGAGAAGAGAAGAAAAAAGAGAAAGGGTGCAGTTAGATATTTCTGGCCGCCCCACTAAATCTTATTTATATTCATGACTTTACAAAAAGTAGAATTACTCTAATACCCCTACTTAAAACAAAAGAAAATAATATGGCCCAACCGGCCCAACTACCATAACTGTAACATAAAGAAATAAACAGTAAAATAAAGTGTGGGGTTGGGACCACATACGCAAATACTCTATCAACTATCTCTACACTCCCCCTCAAGTTGGGAGTAGATATTTGTCATTTCCAACATGCGTAAATCTGTCTCCAACTTGATTTTTGTGACTACTTTAGTAAAGAGATCAGCTAGCTGCATGTTTGAGGCAATATAGGGAAGACACACTTCTTGAGATGCAACTCACTCTCAGATAAAATGTCTGTCCACCTCAATATGTTTAGTCCTGTCATGCTGTATTGGATTGTGGGCAATGTTAATTGCAGCTTGATTATCACAATACAGCATTAGAGGTTTCTCATAGTCAACCCTCAACTCATAAAGTAAAGATCTCAGCCATAACACTTCTGCAACACCATTAGCCATGGACCTGTATTCAGCTTTGGCACTGGAGCGAACAACAACATTTTGTTTATTGCTTTTCTAGGAAACAAGGTTTCCCCCTACAAATGCACAATACCCAGAGGTAAATCTTCTGTCATCAATACATCCAGCCCAATCAGCATTTGTATATACTTCTATCTTCACGTGACCACTATTCCTGAAAAGTATGCCTCTCCCTAGGCATCTCTTCAAGTAAGCAAGTATCCTTTCCACCGCAAGAAGGTGAGTGGTCCTAGGAAAATGCATGTACTGACTAACAACACTGATAGCATATGAAATATCTGGTCGTGTTAGGCAAAGATAAAGAAGTTTCCCAACCAACCTTTGATATATAGCCATGTCCTCAAGAAGTTCTCCACTTTCTACACTTATTTTATGGTTCAACTCAATGGGTGTGTTAGCAGGCTTTACTCTTAACTTTTCAGTTTCTTCCAATAAGTCAAGAATATACTTTCTTTGAGAGATAAGAATGCCATGCTTAGATTGAGCTACCTCAATGCCCAGGAAATAATGTAATTCCCCCAAGTCCTTCACTTCAAATTCCTTGTGAAAATGCTGCTTAAGAGAGTCAATGTCACTAATATCACTTCCCGTCACCACAATGTCATCCACATAAACAACAAGTAAGGTCAAGGAGGAGTCTGTCTTCTTAAAGAAGAGAGTGTGATCTGACTGAACCTGCATGTAACCAAACCTTTCCAAAGCCAGTCTAAACCTATCAAACTAGGCTCTTGGAGATTGATTCAGCCCATATAAAGCCTTCTTCAACCAGCAAACTTTTTTTCCTACTTCTGTACTATAAAAACCAGGGGGTAACTCCATGTACACCTCCTCTTGCAAAGAGAATGCATTCTTGACATCCATATGAAACAGTGGCCATGAGAAATTTGTAGCAATAGATAGTAGGACTCTGATAGTGTTCATCTTGGCAACTAGTGCAAAGGTTTCCATATAGTCTATGCCATAAGTTTGTGTGAATCCCTCTACAACCAATCTGGCCTTATATCTCTCTATAGAACCGTCAACATTATATTTCACTGTAAACACCCATCTGCACCCAACAGGTTTCTTCCTCTCAGGCTGGTCAATTAGTTCCCACGTATTGTTCTTAACAAGAGCATCCATCTCTACTTTCATCTCTTCCTTCCAATTAGGTATCAATAGAGCTTCTTGCACTGTTCTAGGTATAGGAATAGCAGCAATAGACGCCAGGAAAGATCTATAGGATTCTAAGAGACAATCATAAGAAAGTGTAGAGAACACTGATGTGGGCCCCACTGCAGTGGTCCCCACTGTGTTTGTAGGACAGCATGTGTAGTTATTTGTTTCAGTTATAGTAGTGTCAGTTTG